GCAGCTACACTTTCCCTCCTCTCACTAAGCATGCAGCTTGAGAATGAATCTAAAATGGATGCCTTCCAGGAGGTGGGAGGGTCTGCTAGGGAGGGTGTGCTGCTAATTGGCTGGAATGTGTCTGCTGACTGTGAGGTACAGGGTATGGTACATGGTATGGTCACACCATATTTAACTTTTTTTTAATGCCACGTAAGTGTTCATAAATCCAGCCTTTCAGTTTTCTAGCTGTTTTCCTGTAAATTGATCCCTACCAGGGCATTGTAGCATATATATTACATTCCTTAAGTTACAATTAATATGTTTATTTTGGCATTTTTCATCAGTAATAGTACTTTGACTTTCTATCTTCTTTCTTTTTTTCATATTGAGTAGATGAACTAAACCCATGTTTAATATATGAATACTTTCAAGTTTTATTTTTAATAAGAAATTATTAGGTTTTTTTTGGCAACTCTTGGTAATGAGGGGACATATAATTCTTTTAGCTTTTTTTTTCAATGTTTTTTCATGACAATAATGACAGTCGGGGATACAGAAAAGAAAGAGGGAAGGGTGAAAACAAGCCTTGCACAATTATACATAGTACATACAAAACAGTATGGACAATACATCCAATACATCCGTACACAGGAAATACAAATATAAGTTACATAATGAAGAGCATGATGTAGTCAAGTGAAGGCAGTGAAAATAATGAGCACAATAGTACATGCCATAGATATTCAACACATTCCACCATACTCTAGTTTGTTCATAATTCCAAATAACAGAATGATAGATCAAGAGGTGAACATGATGCAAGGTGCTTGAGTGATTGCTGCTAAGTAAGCTGAAGTCAAGAAATTTAACATTACATAGGCATTTTACATTCCAATTTACCAGTGTGGTATATTGAGTCGAAATGACCACCAGTTCTTCAGATTGTTATAGGGTCCTGCAACCCGTCCTCTGTCTGAGTACTGCCTTTAAAGGCCTGATGTATCTGTACTAGCCTTGGTGTACTATGTCTGCCCGCATTGCCACTTTCAAACTGTCGCTACTAGGATATGGTCTCGATGGAGTGCTATTAGTCTGACAGTGTGAGTAGCTCTTGTACTGGTTGTGCATAGTTCATTGTCCTGGAGCGTTGTAGAGGGATAAGGGAAGGATAAGGGAGGAGTATGTTACAAAAGTTGAGTCTGGAACCGAAGAGGAGGGAGTAAAATAAATTAATTAGGTTTAGCTGCGTTGTCGTGTAACAATGTGTAATACTAAAAGCGAAGTTAACAATGCTAACAATATTTCAGTAACCAGGTTTGTGGATGCTGTTCATACAGTCTTATCATTTGAAATACTGGTTATAAAAGGATTCCCAACCATCCCACTGATCCTGAAACCTAGCCATATTTCCCCTCTTGGCCCATTCATGTTCATGGTGGAACGTGAGAGTAACTCTTCTAAGAATTTCTGAGATTGTTGGACATGTAGTAGGAATTTCATGCATGTTAGGGCAATAGGGTCTGTGGGCATGGATGATGTCCATAGGCAATTGGGAAGTGAGTTATGGCAGTTACCCTTGGTTTCAAAATGGAGCCATATCGGTTTGGTTCTACCCGCTATAATGTCTAATCCTTGGGCCAGAGTCATTGCTTTATAATAGTTTTAAATATTTGGTGCACTGAGGCCTCCTTTCCCGAGAGGAAGCCACAGCGAGTGCAAGGTGACTCGTTGATTTTTTTTCTTCCAGATATGGGCATTAATAGTAAATTGGATTTTTCTGAGAAGTGAGTTTGGTAAGGCAATGGGTAGAGTTCGAAATAAGTATAATATATGGGGGAGGATCATCATCTTGAGTGAGTTGATTCTGCCTATCCAGGATGTGTCTAGTGTAGCCCATGTGTCCATTTGTTTGGATATATTATAGACCATAGCTTCATGGTTTTTATTTTGTGTTTATTTGAGTTCGTTAATATAATGACAAGATAAGAAATTGATGTTTTGCGCCATTCGAATGGGAATAGTGTTTTTAGGTCATCTCTTAGGGATGACATGATTTTAACAGGGAGAATTTGGGTTTTAGAAATATTATTCTTGTAATATGATATACGACCATATGTGGACAAGGTGTCTAGGAGATAAGGTATTGAGAGTGCCGGTTCTGTAAGAAAAAGCAGAATGTCGTCTGCAATGAGGGCTAACTTCTTTTCTCCAGCTGGGGACCTCAGCCCCGGTAGAAGAGGATCAACTTTTCTGGACCTTACTAGAGGTTCAAGTCAAAGTATGAATATGAAAGGGGAGAGTGGGCATCCCTGGCGTGACCCATTGGTTATTGGGAAGCTTCTGGACATAAATCCTGTATTGAACACCTTGGCCAAAAGTGATGTATATAATGCTAGTATACTGGATACAAATGATTGTGATAAACCAAAGGCCTTTAATGTAGCTTACATGTAAGTCCAATTTAGACGGTAAAATGCCTTTTCCACGCCTAGTGCTATTATCACCCCACTTTGTGCTCTGTGGTTTGCCCAGTCCATCAGACCTAGACAATATCTGGTGTTGTCCCCAGCTTGTCTACCAGGGACAAATCCAGCCTGCTCCTCCAAGACTTAGGTGGTTAATAAAGGTTAATGGACGCTATTAGTTTAGCGAAGAGTTTTACGTCTGCATTCAATAAAGAGATTGGCCTCAGATTGCTACAGACCGTTTGTGGTTAGTTTGGTTTGGGTAGTGTGATAATGTGCGCTTCTAGCATTTCGGATGGAATTTTGCCAGAGATTTTTATAGTGTTAAATAATTTTGTTATGTGTGGGGTTAGATGTGTTTCCATTTTGATATAATAGTAGTTCGATAGGCCATCTGGCCCAGGAACTTTGTGTTTGGGCAGAGATTGGATGGCCTTACTGACTTCATATTCAGTGAATGGGGCTTCCGGGTTTTGTTGTGGTGTTGTTTTAGGGAACGGAATGTTCTCTTAATAGGAAAGTATCTCATTTTCCTCAGGGATGTGTGTGTCTTTATCTCTATTAAGGTTATATAGACCCTCATAGTATGATGCTAATTTGTCTACTATTTTGTTGGGGTTGTAGAGTTTATCATTCATTTTAGATAGTAAAAAGGGAATTTTGGTTTGGAGGTATTTTGTTTTTAGTTTGTTGGCCACTAGCTTTCCTGCTTTGTTGCCCATGCCATAATATTTTTGCTGAAGTTTCTGTAAGTTTTTAGCATAGTCCTGGGCATGCAGTTTCTGGAACTCTAGCTGGGTGTTTGCTTTCCGTTTAGTATTTGCTTTAGAGGGGGATTTCTTGTTTACCGTTCTAGTGAGACTAGGTTTTGGAGCAGTGCTGTTTTTTTGTTTTGGATTTTTTTTTTTGTGAGTGATCCTAGTTTAATAAATTCCCCTCTAATTACAGCTTTATGAGCCAACCACTGTGTCTCTGGTGTAGTATCGTCCGTAGTGTTGATGATGAAGTAGTTACTTATTGTGTATGGTTGGGGCAACCGAGTATTGACTCGTTTAATCTCCATTTGCCCCGGCTTTTGGCAGGGAATGGTACTGTGATAGTGGTCAAAATTGGGCATGGTCCGACCATGTTCTTTGGCCTATTTGTTGATCCATCAGATGGGGGAGTGTGGATTTGTCTATTATGCATAAATGTATACGTGTATACGTCATATGTACTGGGAAAAATATGTGTAATCTTGTGCCCTGGGAAATAGGTTTCTCCATGTGTCATATAGATCATGAGTGAATGAGATGCGAGAAAAGTGAATGAGATGCGAGAAAAGTTTGCTGGTGTTAACTGAGGATTTATTGGGCACCCTACCCTGTGTGTGTTGTATGTCTAACGTGGGATCTAATGTGCAGTTTTAGCCACCGCATATGATCACATGGCCCTTTTTGATTGCTAAGATTTTTCTGATTGCCTTGTTAATGAAGGAAAATTGGGCATCGTTGTGTGCATAAAGAGAAGCAACGGTTATTTGGATAATTTGCCAACCAGAATCAGAAGCCTACCCGCTAGATCTTTGAAAAGGTGAAAGCCCAATCTGAGTGGAACAGTATTGCTACACCTTTGGATTTGTTTTGTGCGTATGCATGGTACCCCAATGGGTATTTGGAAGATCTTAGCTGGGCTTATTAATGCTAAAATGGGTTTCTTGTAAGCAGACTATTGCTGCTCCGGATGCGTGCATATCCTTAATTACCAGTCGCCTCTGGTGAGGGCTGTTAAGTCCCTTTACATTAAGGGAGAGGATTTTCATATGATTAGTCATAAGGGGGGTGATTTAAAATTGACTTCTGATCGAGGGTTAGCAACAGGCTGTGCAGTGTGGTAACATGTGTCCCTCTGATATGAGACGTCTGGTTCACTCTAGGATGACAATAAAACATACTTCCTATATGGGAGTGATTTGCATAGATATGTAATAGATCTGTGCAGTTGACTGCACAGTAGGTAACGAGAGCAGCCCGAAACTCCTCGCCGGGGATACCATGTGTTGGTAGTGGTCCACAACTTAAAATTACTAAATTTAAAGAAAAAAACAATAACAAAAAAAAAGGAGAAAATTAAGAAAAGGAAGCAAAGTATTTACAGAATTCCCCCTGTTTAGGGAGCAACAACATGGGTCGTGTGAGAATCACCAGAATAGTGATTTCCGAGGTGTGACCCAGGGAGGGAGTGTGAAACTCCGACATGCCCGATACATAAAAGCTGGGGTAAGATTAGCTAAACTTTAACATTACTTGTAGGTGTAGGCGTTATTTTGCCCTTTTGACTACATCTTTCCCCTGAAGCACGGCAGTAGCGAGCAGAGGTGCATCTATACAAAAGGGGAGTTTTGCCCTCATGTTTAACATACAATATGCAAAAACCACTGATTGTGTATCAACACAGTATGGTGTGACATAGTGCATACATATACTTGGAATTCATTAACCAAAAAACAAAGGGCATAAATTAAACAATGAAGTACATGAATAAGGCAAAACACTTAGCTAGAGGTAATAACTCTCAATGTGACCATCGCGGCTTTGTTGAAGAGAGTATAGCACCCACAGATGTCTTCTTTGCAGGTGTTCCCACCATTTGCCATTCTGCCTGAATCAGTCTTGGTGCAGACGTTGTAGGTTCTTCTTGCTGGGCTTTGGCAATATTCCACATAGCCCATTCAGTGAGTAATTTCATGCCATCTGCTGGATCATTCACTACGTGCGTCTTGCCTTGTCTCCAGAGTAATAGCTTAGTTGGGTAACCCCATCTGTAGGGCACATTATCCGTACGTAATGTCGTCGTGATAGTTATAAATTCTTTGCGTTTCGCCATTGTGGCTGCTGACAGATCCACAAATAAAGCTATGCATTGATGGGGATCTGGTAATGTGGGGGACTTTCTGGCTGCTGCCAGTAGTGTGTCCTTGTGTGCAAAGTAGTGAAATTTGACTATGACATTTTTAGGAACATCACCTGTGAAGCGAGCTGGGTGTGGAAGCCTATTATGCGATCAAACACCCATGCTGAGTCTGGTAGGCCTGGAAACAAGGCCTTGCATATGGAGAGAATGTAGGCTGGAAGTGCGTCGTGGGACACATCATCGAGAATACCCCGGAAGAGGACATTCTGTCTCCTCAACCTGTACTCCATGTCTGCTAATTTGAGCTTCAAGGAGTCATTTTCCTCAGCCAGTTTCTGCTCTTTGTCTACTACCTCATTATGTGCAGCACACAGGTTCTCTGTTCTGTTCTCCAGATGGCTAGTTCTGTTTCCCCAAACATGAGCTGGGGCTTAATGCTGGGGAGTAGAATGTCTTTAATATGGCCAAATGGCCCACTTATATACAGAAAATGAGTACATTGTATACGCCCCCAAACACACCCACAATTTCTCATAAAATACATTGTCACTGTGACTCAGCAAAAATACAGCAAATATGAAAAACTATAAAAATACATAAAGCAACTGTGACAAAGTGCCCCTCACCACTTGTGCCCGGAGAGGACTAATTGCCAGCCTCTTGCCTTGTGACTATGGCCCCTGGGAGAGTTTGCCCTTTAAAAACATTATTTGGGCATATTGGATTTTATTGCACTGTTTCTGCCCCTTTGATTCCATGGGAGAATGTGCCTCTTCCCCTCCCCCTTTTTCCTGTCCCATTGTTCTCTAGCAGGGCGTTGTCCCAGGGATACTGCCAGACTAGTTGAAACTGGCTGCTTTGTCCCTCCTCAATCTCTCATCAGCCCTTGCTATTGTTTAACCCCATGATGATACAACTGTATTCGTGAGATCTGAGTGCTTTTCGGACATATTGAGCGCTCAGATCCAAGCTATTTGGGGATATGTTGGACATATAGGTTAAACATTGTATTATATAAGTTATGTATTTTTATGTAGTTTTTGTAACAGTTTTTGGACTTGGATATTTTCTGTACCTGGAGATAATTGGTTTACCACACCCACTTAAGCCAATTATCTCCAGAATAGAGGAGAAGATAGACCGGCTGCACAGCCTAAATCTGTGGAACTGTTTTGGGTATGAAAGCCATGCTTTCAGTCGGTCAAATAGGACTTCCAGCTATCTTTTGAACCACTGGACCAAATTGTATGCTTTTTAAAGATGTTTGTATACTGATTATGCTGGTTCAGATTAACTTTTATGGAAATTGTATGTATAGTTTTGAAGTTATGAATATTGGGTAAAACTGTATATTTTCCTGCCTGTGATAATTAAGTTAGCCCATTGTGTTTAGCAGTTATATCACAGGCATAGGGGAGGGTTTGTGTGCCTTGGCTGTGAGTGTCTGACTGTACTGTAATGTGTTTGATTGGTGGCTGTAACTCTGAGTCCTGTGTACCACAAGGTCCACGTGTGTGGTAACCTTGTGGGAAAAGATATATAAGAGCATTAAAGCCTCAGTGCATTCTGTTCCTGTTTGACCCTCAACACGTAGTCTCATCTCGTGATTGGAGGGGAACTGCTATAATCACACTGGGGATTGCTATGCTCTGCATACTCCCTTGATTTCTAATCACCAAGCTCTTCTAAAAGTTGTTCCTGATACGCTGTCCTGGAGGAGAGGTCTTCCCTAAGAGTCCTGGGTGTTGGAGGTTCATACAGGGTGGAAGGAAGTGGTCTTTTCCACACGGTCCTGGAGGACAGAAGCTGATCCAGGGTGGAAGGAAGACGGCGAGACTCCAGTTAAGCTACGGCGGTTGTGGAGTCTGCGGTGGTTGTGGTGTCCGGTGCGGTGCTTGTGGTCCGCCAACGGAGGCTCCTGCCCAGAATAGTTCCATGAAATTGTTGGTAGCGGTCAGTCTCTTTTGGGTGTACGAAACATCCAAAATACTGAACATAAGTCTTAGCCCATATGCTGATTAAGTGCCCCTCGTTCGGGAGTATGCGCCCACCGAACGGTGTTCCTTCCTTCCAGACGAATGTAGGCGGACACAAGCGAAGATGATAGTTCAGCAATGGTCGAGTGTCCAATTTAAGTTCCGCGCACTCGACAACCAAACACCGCTGCCTGCGTTTGCGGCTCAAGATGACCGCAGCCACGTATTTGTACGTACGAATGGCGACCACCCAGCCGACCGTTTAGAATGTTGCATTTACCAGTGTTAATGAGGTGCTGACAGGGGTGACGGAGGTTAACAAGCATACGGGTGGTCTGGTCATTGGGTGGTTTGTTCGGTATACAATTAAAACAAGAATAAAAGTTTAAGCGCGCCCAGTCTACCAAATGAACTGGAGAATAACAATAGTTTTTAATAATCCAGTGACAGGGTGGTCTGTCACATTGCTCCCCCCCCCTTGTGGGACACTTTGGCAGACCCGGCTTGACATTTTTTGGGTCAAATTGGGGCTGTCTGGGTGTAGCTTCAGTTGGTAAGTCCTGTTTGTCTGGACAACCCGTCAGCATTGCTATTTTGCTTACCAGGCTGGTAGTGGATGGTGAAGTTGAAGGGCTGTAGTGCCAAACTCCACCACAGCAAACGACCATTGTCTCCCGCAAACCAGTTAAGCCACACCAATGGGTTGTGGTCAATAATCAATATAAATTATTGTCCATACAGGTAAGGGGTCAGCTTCTTCAATGCCCACACTAGCGCCAAGCATTCTTTCTCCATGGCTGCATAGCTCACCTCCCGGAGTAATTTTTTACTAAGATACACGATGCCTTTTCCCCCCTTCATCTTCCCCGACTTGACTTAAAACTGCCCCCAATCCAAACATGGAAGCGTCTGTGAGCACAATAACATTTTGTTAAAGACTGGGCCCGCCAGAACAGGGGCATTAATTAACGCTTGTTTCAGAGAATTAAATGGGGTTTCACATACTGGAGACCACAGGACTTGTCTAGGTAAACTTTTCTTTGTCAGGTCAGTCAGGGGCAGAGTTGCTCCACCACTTTGTAGGGGCCTTGCCAGGCTGCCTGCAATTTGTCCTGCCGGACAGGTTTCAATACAAAGACTTTTTGTCCCACCCGGAACCTATGCTGTCGGGCATCCTTATCGTACCAGACCTTCTGTAGCCCCTGGACCACCTGGAGATTTTCCTTCACCATCTTGGCCAACTGCTCCATGCAGTTCAAACACATACAGTACTATGGGGGTTTCCTCATGCTCCATTTCCCCTTCCCAGTGTTCTCCAATGACAACAAGGGGATCTCACACTCGTCACCCATAGAGAAATTCAAAATGGGAAAACCCAGTAGATTCCTGTGGCACCTCTCGATACACGATATAAGAGATGGGGCAGGAATAGCTCCCAGTCTCTGCAAGTGGTGATAAAGGTTCTCAACAACTGCTTGAGGGTACAGTTAAATCGCTAGCATAGACCGTTAGTCTGGTAAGGGGAGCTTAGTATGGGCTTGATGCCACATACATTCCATGATAAGGTATAAATTGGGTTCCCTGGTCCGAGAGGATTTCCTTGGGGAAACCTTACCCTGCATTAATATTTGAAAAGGCCACTTCTTAGGGGTAGTGTGTAGCATATTCCACCATGGTAAGTATATATTTCTTACCGGATAGACTGGGTCTAGCTAGGGGCCCTATTAGATCGACTGCTATCCAACTAAAGGGCTTTTCAATAATGGGCATGGATAGCAGTCAGGCTTTGGGGTAATCTCCACTCTTCCATACTCTCTGACAAATGTTGCACGTTTGGCAGTATCATTAGAGATCCCCGGCCAGAAGAATTTCTGGATTACCCTATGAGACGTGCAGCGTATGCCCAGATGCCCTGCTAAAGGTATCTTATGCCCAATCCAGAGGAATTCCATCTTGTATTACCTGGGAACTACCAGTTGGCGCTTCTGGGATAGGGCCGTTCTCTTAGTGTGGGTCTCAGTTATTCTATATAACCGGTCCTGTTCCCCAAAAATATTTTGCCCTCTAATCCCACTTGCTCTGTATCTGCCTTGGCCCAGTACTTGTGTACTTGGGGTCCTCCCGGGTTTCCCTCCCAAACCAAGGTCAGGGTAGCTCCGGTATTTCTCAAGCCTTGAGCAGTCTGCCCGTTTACCACCCTATTCCCCACTACAGCCCCTATTTCCCCACTACATCCCTTATAACCCCACAACAACCACTACTCCACTAAAGCCCCTATTCCCTCACGAAAGCCACAAATGCAACACAACAAGCAGCCACCATAGACATGCAACCCCACAAGCACCACGATACTGGCTTGGGGCAGCAAAGAGGATAATTCCAACCCTGGTAACTTTGACAGTGCAATGAGTAGTAGTGGACCAGGCAGTGGAACTAGTACCAGACAAAATTCTACCATTCTTCACAGAAATAAGTGATCCACTACAGGCTATAGGAGGTGGTAATAAAAGGAGAAAATAGAGAGGCATGGGAAGAGTGCATGCTAGCTGGTGGAGATTTAGGTGGACTTCCCCCTGATAAATCCTGACTCTCCTCAACAATATGATCCTCCTCTTGCTCATAGTCAAGATGTTTAGTCTGAATGCAATTTCTGCAGTGCTGAAAATGAGACTAATACCACCTCCAGCAAGAACAGACTATAGTGACACCTCTGAAACAATTGCCTGTTCTATCTCTGGTTCAGACAATGTAGAAAATACTATGGATGACTCGGCACTAGTTTTACTTTCTGTCTTTCTTAGGTCCTTTTTAGGGGGTAGTAATAGCAATGGCAACAACTTACTTGGTTTCACAAATTATACCTTGCTGCTAAAGGTACCAGGTAACACAGGGTCTTGGTCGAAGTGGAGGTAGGAGCTCTTGTGCCACTAACAGTGGTAATAGCAACATTGGTTTTGAATCCTTGGGAGGAAAATCAGGAAGGAGCTTCCATATACATGAGAGAAGCTGCTTGGGAACCAAACTCCTAGTCCCAACTGCAGCTATACTATGTTTTAAGCTTTCTGTATCTGAAACTTTACTTTTCCCTTTCTTCAAAAAGAAATGCAAGGAGGGTGTTAGTACTAGTGGAAAAAGCTGGGAACTCAACTTGCTTCTTCTAACTCACTAACATAATAGTCTTTGTAGTATCCCTGACGTTATCTGTAGAAGGCCCTGCAAGATTCCCACAGAAACTGCAGCTGGTTCTGGGCCTAACTGCACTACTTCATGCTGCTGGAACTGATGATTCCTTTACCTGATTATTGCACCAGCAG